AAAAAAAAAAAAAAAAAAAAAAAAGTTTAAATTTTTAAATGATAATATAAAAAGAACTAGAAAAAATATCAATGAAGATTGATCTTACTCTTGTGTGAGGAAGGACTTTCTAAGAATAAAAGAAAAGGGAGAAATCAAAAGAAAAAGATCGATATATTTTTCTATAAAAATTTTTGAAATTCTTCATGTCAAAAAAATCATAAAAAGTGATAAAAAGCAAACTACAAATTTGGACAGAATATATGTTTTATAAATATTCCAAAGGATTCTTACCACTAATATTAAAAGATATGTTACAAATCAATGAGAAAAAGGTGGATATCCCATTGGAAATACTGTGACTGTGATAATCTCTTCACAAAGATTACTTCAAATCAAAGACACAGAAATTGTAGTCAAGTAAGAGCAATGAATTTTTTTTCATCTATATGATTGACAATAATGAAATATTTGCCATTTTAAATATAAGGAAACCATATTTAACAGCCATCCTAAGTCCACTTAAAGTTAATTAAGGTAAATGGGCAAGGCTTAGTGCTCGGGGCAGATTTGGAGCTATTCTGGAGACAAACAAGCTCTGGGACTTTGTTCTGATTTATTCAATTCACTAGACATTTTTAAGCAGCTGATGTTATAGATGACCACAAAAGGGGAAAAAAAAAGATTATTAAAAGATGAAGGCTGAGAAGACATGATTGATGTCTTTAAGATCTTGAATAGCATGCCTGCACTGAAGAGTATGTTCACTGAATTCCAGAAATGGGGGGAGGGGGGAAGCTCCTAAACAAATTAGGAGGCCCTGTTTACATGGTGAGTTATAAACACTGAAGTCGTTACCCCATAATAGGGTTTAAGAGCAAGTACAAAACAAATACAAAATATGTTTTGTATCCAGTATAAAAATAAAACATGATAATAGCAAATACAGTAGAAATTAAGGTGGTGGTAAATAGGTATTTGTAAGTTCACACACCTGTGTGGATTACAGATTGAGTATTTATTAATCAGCTACAAATGGACCCTGGAATGTTTAAAAGCACCACATTGTTTTTAGTTTAGAATTATTGAGGATGACCAAGAATTAGCACCATGGTTTGCAGACATTCTTCTGTTTGTATTTTCACCTCTGGAATCAGGACTCTGGTCTCCTGTCTGGAGGAACGTCATCCTCCTGCCACCACATTAAGAGTGACAATATTTGGAGGATGATATGTTGGATTCTCACATTGGTGGCAATCCTAAAGATTGGAAATCTTCCATTCTATAATTAAACAGAAGTCATAAACCAGTATGAAAGTAAAGTCATAGGAAAAGAAAGTTGAAAATTCAAGGCCCAGCTGGTTGGTCTTTTATATGTGAAAAACGGATTCATTTGCTTTGTATGCCACTCGGGGTTCGCCCCACTGACATTTCCTCATTTGGCCAGTTGCAAAGGCCACTTTAGATAATGCCCACTTCATTATGAACCGAAAATGAGCGCTTCATTGGGGTGACCATGCTTAGAGGGTTAGGGTCTCGCTGGTCCTGATTCACCATATTCCTGGTAAGAAGTGGATTCTGGCCTGCGTGTTTGTATGTTTACTCAGAACACCCAAATGTGTGTCTATCTCTGACTCTCTGCCTCTCTCTTCTCCTCAGGACTACTGGCTCTCTCTCCTTTACAAGCGCCTGATTGGCCCCAAAGTCTTGGCTGTGCATGTGGCTGGGCTCCAGCGGAAGCCACGGCCAGGCCGAGTGATCCGGGACAAACTAAGGATTTATGCTCACTGCACAAACCACCACAAGTAAGTCTGCGGAGAGACGGCACAGAAAGCCACCCCTGGGGAGCTTCAGGCCCCTTTGAGAATTTCATACATGGGACCCCTTCAAGACTTATTGAAAACCACTTCTGGATTCACTTTACCTGCTCTTTGCAGGTTTCAAATGGTTTCTGATAAACAGCTTTTTCTCCAAGTAAACCCCCTCTCTCACACTTACAGGATTTATTCATAAAATGTTCATAAAAATACATGCCATTTGTTCATTTACTTCTTCATCCAACAAATTTTTACTGAGCATTTTCTCTCAGCCAGTTGATGTAATGTCCAGGAGGCTTATTTGTATGCCTGTGCCTGAACCAAGGGTAGAAATATAAAATCTGTTCCTAAGATACACCAGGCAAGCTTGAGGAAATAAGTCTACATCTCTAAGATGCATTTTGGAGAGCTATACCACTAGAAACCATATACCAGTGCATCCCAAACTGAGAGTGCCCAAAAGTAGTCAGGCCAGCTTTAGAGCTATTTCAGTATTTGGAAAACCTTTTCAGCTATTTTAAAGGTTAAATAAAATCTAGGCTTCCTTTTTTTAGGGGGCTGGACTTTGAACAGTCAGCACGGTAACAGATATGATTATCCTCTTTTTCATCTGAAGCTCTGGTTGTCAGAGTTGTCTTTTAAAAAATTGGAAAAATAATTAGTAAATACATAAAGTTTGGCAGACAAAATATTTTAAAACATGAGGTTCATAAGGTAAAAACTTAAAACTGAGCCTAAAGCAAAACCCATCAGACCAAATATGGCTTTCTTACATCACTTTCTATTTAAGGAACAGAGTAGGCAGCTCTGGAAGTAAGAACTTTTCTCTTCCTGCAGAGAAACCTTGTGTGGAGTGGGAGTGAGGGAGAAGGAAGCAAGTGCCTCCAGCCAGATCTTCATTCCAGTGAGCCTGTCAGGAGCTGATCACGGGTAGTGGAGGCACAAAGAGCTCCAGTGGTCAGGTTACAACAGACGCTCCTTCCCCTTCCTTGATGACAGAGGAGCCAAGCCAGTTAATTTATCAGGATAAGATTTTTCAAAGAATCACTCTGAGCATAGGGGGGTCAGGGGCCAGTTGTCTTGTCTGTAGATACAAGTGCCTATTGTGGATGAGTAGAGGCTGGTTTGGGCAGAGGCCAGAGGCTTTCAACGTCCCTTTTGCTCAACAGGAAGCTCAATCCAATACCTGACAGAGAGTGACTGCTTTATGGCCTTGGCTGGAGTTATCTGATCACCACACAAGGAAACATTGTATTCCTTGTCTCCACCCTGGCCTTGAGGTAACCACCCAAAAGGTGGACCCCCAGCTTCAAGAGAGAAAAATTACTCTTGGCACCTTTTGTCTCTTTTGGGAAGCACATCAGTATGTGCCCTTTATACTACAGGTCTGAGGACACAGGGGAAAATGTCAGTAGCCAAGCCACAGGCTTAGCAGAATTTGAGGGTCTTCACAGAGGTCTCCTCACATTGTTTCATCCCAGTGTTCATCCTAACGTTCTTTGACATTCTTGTGGGAAGTTGTCACTAATATTCTGAATATACCGTGCCCTCAGGGCCAGTGCCTCATGCATTTTTGTATTCTTGGTGTCCAATAGAGTGACTGGCCTGAGGAAGGTCTCAGTGAATGTTTGATGAATGGGCGAGTGAATGAATGCAGAAATAGGGCATCAAGACATCACTGATGATTTACAGTTATAGCTCTCTTTCCCT